GCCTTATCCACCTGGCCATGTCGGGCCGAATTAGTAAGTAAACTCAAAATGAGACAGTTTTGAATTATTTGCACAAAGAACAAAGAAATGCAGCAACAGTGTTAAAAAATCTAAAAATATAAAGCAATGATTAAAATGTCTGTAAGGGTAACGTAATTGTGTGATCATGGTTAAAACATGTGTACTCTTAGTGCAGTTTATACTGAGACTACTCTGCTACCGTCTTTAGTTTTGAAACTCCTGAATACAGGGAAAGTAACCGGCCGGCAGCACACATTGCCAACTCGTGGGCTACCAAGGAAGAATGGGATTGACCATCACCTTGTATCGCCCCCACAGCTGAAAGGATGGCCATATTCGGTGTCGGGTTGCGAATCCGTGACCAGAAGATTGCGTGTCGAGCGCCCTGACCACCATGCTAGGCCAAAATAGCTGTAGGAGAAACACGAATAATGGTCATGATTCAAATCGCTTTTAAGAGAAACAGAATTATGAGGTGAACTCAACGTTTAGACTTAATGACCGTCTTCGAGATTAGTATTGAATACTTTGCTTTCAGTAAAACCTTACAATTATATTATATATTCATTTTGAGCTAAGCGGCCCAAGTTTTTATTCGATTCGATTTGATTAACGCTTCATGTGTCAACTGCTATGGTTATTTTAAAGCATGACTTACTTATTATAAAACAATCTTCAATAAAAGAAAGAAATTTTTGCGTATTTTAAATTAGAATAAAACTTATGATAATGTGGTCATACAATAAGACCGTTTTTACTTCATAATTTTGAACTAGTAAATCAAAAGGGAATCCGCTAGTCAGCAGCACCCACCACCAATTCTAGTCTGATCATATGCGGGATCTGACCGTCGCTATTATAGCCCATCGAGACACAGAGCGCGTAGTTGTGGCACGGGTTCACAATCCAGGATCGCTAACTACTAGGCCATGCCCAGTCCTCAATAAGAAATTGTGTTTTTCAGTATAGTTGTTTCAACTATGGCGCATCAAAATGGATAACCTTACGATTCGTTCACTGGTTATTTGGATCGTGTGAGTACTGTATGATTATATTTTCTTTTGGTTTAGTATTAGAATAATGGCATTCGGTTTTGGAAATAAAATAAATGTGATATTTGGACAATACTGTGTATTTGTTTACAAAGAGTGAAAATCTTCTAGCGATCGGTGTGTGGAGGATTTGGTTCTTCTTAAATCTTTTGAAAATCCAAATTTGACAGGTGATCTAGTTAATGAAAGAGCAGTAAATAAGATATGGGTTTGACAAAATGCGCTGAACACGCATTAAGTATCATTTACGTGCTATAAAAAAGCTTCGTTTTGTTTATATATATAATAGATCTATTACTTAACAGACTTCAACTCAATTTCGACAAGTATTTTACGAATAATTTTAACTGAGCTTTTGACAGCCAGCGCTACGACTGAGTTGGTTGGTTGGTTGTTTTGAATTTCGCGCAAAGCTACACGGGGGCTATCTGCTTTAGCCGTCCCTAATTTAGCAGTGTAAGACTAGAGGGAAGGCAGCTAGTCATCACCACCCACCGCCAACTCTTGGGCTACTCTTTTACCAACGAATAGTGGGATTGACCGTCACATTATAACGCCCTCACGGCTGAAAGGGCGAGCAAGTTTGGTGTGATGGGGATTCGAACCCGCGACTCACAGATTGCGAGTCGAGCGCCCTAACCACCTGGCCATGCTGGGCCACGACGACTGAGTAAGTTGCAAATAGCTGTTTCCACTACGGTAGCACGTTTAAGACACGCGATATTTAGAAAGCTTCTTCCACTACCCGAGTAAATTTTACAAAAAATCTAGTATTTTTCGATTTCGTATAAAACAAAATGAATAATAAATATTATAATTTTAGTGGACGAATAATTGAATGTTTTCAATATTTCATCCATTCAAAACTGAATATCTAGCAACAAAAACGGCACTCCTATTTTTGGTCTAGTAATTAGGATGTCGATAAGAAGCCCTAAGGTTCGAGCTTTAAATATGATACTGAACACGTTACGGTAAAGCTCGCTATTTGTTTAAAGTAACCGTGTTGGCGGCAAACTGCTGGTTGACTGTCCCTGGTCAGCTGTTCAAGATTAGGGATACATTTTATTATTTCGAGTATCTGCTCAAAGCTACGCAAGGTTTACCTGCGCTATCCGCCTTTGATTTTCAATCGACAGGAAAAGCAGCTAGTAAAAAGCGCCCATCTTTAGCTCTTGAGATTCTGAACTTGACGGTTACTCTTAAAATATGAAGCACGATATTTTTATGGTAACGGAACGCCAACATTGGATCCTGAGTCTGGAATTCTAACCACTGCGTTACACCCGGCCTAATTAGGGACAGGTATGTCCGAGTCCTGGTGTTTCAGAACATATTGGTTACGTTATGTGTAACATACGTTGCCGTTCAGATTGACAATACGAAACAGTGAAATACCTTTTATTTTTAACTTAGCAAAACACGTCACGACTAGGCTTGTTTAGAATCTCATTGTGTAGCTTTGTGCTTAATTACAAACAAACAAACTTTACCAAAGAATAGTGGGGTTGAGCTCCATATTATAACGCATCCATGGCCAAAAGGGCGAGCGTGTTTGGTAACGTGTCTCGCTCCTGCAACCCGGAGATTACATGTTAAGCACCCTAACCGCAATGTTTTACGACAATATTTGATAAAAGGTGGAAACGTTACGTTGAACTTTAACACCATAAATTAAACCAATTATAATTTTCTTGAATTATTCATTAAGCAGGTTGTATCAGTATGTGCCTCAAACACGAATGTACTGTCTGTTATCTGCACCAGTATTAGTTCTTCTTATGTTATAGGCCCGGCATGGACAGATGGTTAGGGCGCTTGACTCGCAATCTGAGGGGCGCGGATTCGAATCCCCGTCTCACCAAACACGCTCGCCCTTTCAGCCGTTGGGGCGTCATAATGTAACGGTCAATCCCACTATTCGTTGGTAAAAGAGTAGCCCAAGAGTTGGCGGTGGGTGGTGATGACTAGCTGCTTCCCTCCAGTTATTCACTGCTAAATTAAGGGCGGCTGACGCAGATAGCCCTGGTGTAGCTTTGCGCGAAATTCAAAACAAACCAAACCATCTAACCTTATTAAAACACCTCCTCCAACCGTATAATTACATTTTACGATCTGACGCATACAACAGAACACCTAGTTTGATATTAGTAGCGCCATTAATAGTACAGGTACAATGTACAAGTTTTAAAACAAAGTAATAGTGGTTCCGATTTTCACTTTCACTAATTAACACTAAAGTCAAGTAATTTTATCATTCGATCAGTGAATGAATACATAACCGTGTTTCAGTCAGCTCGAGCTGTCAGTTAAGCTTGAGATAGTCAAACATTTATGTGTATACTGCTCTGAAATTCCAAAACAAGCTAATAAGAAGTAATACCTGAAGAAACAAAAACGCAGTAGAGAAACCGAAACTATCGAAACAGACAGGGGTAGTCCATTAAATCCACAAACTCTAAATAAGCCGCTGCTTGGGCGTGTCCACAATTGACCTAGTGTTCAGTAAGTTCTTACCCTACAACTTTTCCAGTGTAATAACCTTGAACTGGATTCAACTAACGACTTAAGCATACACGCATATATATAGGTGACCTAAATAAACATTTTCGTCAGAGATTCGTGTTTTCTTCAAGCTAAATAGTGACAAATGCACAGGAACACGTGAATTTAAGTTATTTCATATTTACCCGAAACCATCTGATACAAGAAGTTATAAGTGACTTTCAAAAGCTAGCAGTTATCTGATTAATGCCTCCTCACTAATCTGTAGCAAGGCTAGATTATCTATCATTACGAAACATGATAAGGAGATTACCATTAGTGATTCAGACTGGACAGGTTAACAAGTCTCGCAGGAAGTGTAGGAGAAACTACAAAAAGGTCGTTATCATTAATCCAGTTTGTTGGTTTGTTTGTTAAATTTCGCGCAAAGCTACCCGAGAACTATCTGCGCTAGACGTCCATAATTTTCAAGTGAAAGACTAGAGAGAAGGCAGTTAATCAACACCACCCACCGCCAACTCGTGGGCTACTCTAATCGATTAGTGAGATTTGACTGTTTTGCTTATAATGAACCCACGGCCCTAAAGTGCGGAGTGCGAGTGTTTTTTTCTCGACGGTTTTCGGGTGCGAATCACGAAATCTCGGATTCACAGTTCGGCACTGTAACCAATGAGCCACTCTTGGCCATACTGATTAGTAGCAGCGGCTATAATTGGATCTCATATCGGTTGAGCGATGAAGCTATGAGCTGAAAGTTTGTACTTGAAAAAAAAAAAAACTCGGAGCCATTTTATGAGACGCTGTGCTGCGGCTACAAACAACAGTAACCACATTTCCGAACAATAATGATCTTTTGTTGTTCCTCCTACACTTCCCACCAGATTTGCTAACCTTTCGGATTGGAGGGTTCCCTCTTATTCAATGTTACTTTTAACCCAATGAAATTTATGTCAAGGCTTCGAAATGGATAGAATAAGTAAAATGATACATTTTACATTAGGACGTCACTCTGCAACACTGTAAGCAAAACGTAAAACAAGCTTCGTTTTAGTATTTTTTTCAAATCGCATAATTATCAAAGAACGTGTTTGTTGAAATCATCCAACGTAACTGAATATATAATTAAAATTTTTTATACTAAATGACCATATAATATTTAAATAGATAAGTATTACTGCAGTTATGATAAAAATCTTAGTGATACACATGACAACACGTGCATTAAAAAGAAATGAAATATAACAAACTAGAGGGACACTCAGTAGAGCTTATGTACTTAACTAGAGGGATACTCAGTAGAGATTATGTACTTAACTGGAGGGACACTCAGTAGAGCACATACCTCCGCCACGTAGCAGTGATCATAATCGGCTCACAAAAAAGTACGAAAATGTGTCCGTATGTCCTTCGTTATCAACGGACACGGAACATTTTGGGCAGGACAATGAGGAATAATATTCTACATATGTCCACCAAGTTTCTTCAAAATCTGATCATTTTTGACTGAGTTATAGAGCAAAAATAGTGTGAAAAATAGGTCTCGATGTTAACAGATAGGGATTTTTTTTTTATTTTCCTGACCTTGACCCTCCAAAAACTAATCACTTCTAAGTTGGGTTATAGTTCAAGCGTATACCGCGGTGGGAAAAGCACAGATAGTCTCTTGTGTAGCTTTGTGATTAAAAACAAAAAGGAAACAAAACAAAAATTGCATCAATTAAGAAGAATGACGTAGAAAAATACATTTATAATATTGTTTGTTTGTTTGTTTG